GTGTGTGTGTGTGTGTGTGTGTGTGTGTGTGTGTGTGTGTGTGTGTGTGTGTGTGTGTGTGTGTGGAACAGCTACAGACAGGTTTCAGCAAACAAAGCTAGGTCTGTACTGCCACAAGTACAGAGTTGGGAGGGAGGGTAAATGAGGAAAGAGTGAGGTGGAAGAGAAGAAGGGAGGGAGGAAGAAAGAGCGATGGAAAGAGGAGGGGGGGGTAACCTGCAGCCCCCTGATCCCCTCAAATATCCCCTTCGATGACAGAGCTCGGCCGAAGCAGAGGTGATGAGAGAGAAGAGGGGGAGAGGAGAACAAACGAGGACGACAGGGAGAGTGAAGGCTGAGAGAGAATGCCCCTATTTGTTAATCAATCGGCCGTTTCGGAAAGGGAAAACTCCAAAAATCCCCCAGAGGGAGGATAAGGCCAGGGAGGGATGATGGAGGTAGGGGAGGGGGAGGGGGGCAGCTACCTCCAGCTCCTTCAGCAAATCACGTAGCTTTTCAGGTCGCCGGTTACTGGGGGTCCACGGATAGCCTCGAGCTACAGAGAGGGAAAACATGAGGAGCTCATGTGACCTCACATATTAACACACATATTAAAAACACACTCGTAGACATTTAGAGAAGTGTGGGAAAATAACAGACTTTAAAAATACTCATTGCAGTGTCATGAAGACAGGTTAGCAAACAGGAAAAAAAATCATAAAAAAGACAAAAGGTTGCCATTTTTTTTCCTCCTTTACATTGATGGTTAAAGTGTGCTTAAATGAAATGAAACATTTRTAAGAAATAATTGAGACCGGCCACCAAAAGGTTAACTATGGCAACAAAGGCAGCATTTGGTAAGAAGTGTGACTTTTTTAATGTATAAGAACAYATTTACAGTCAGATTTGTTGAATAAAGACAAGTTTGTATGCAATTCTCTGTGGTTTTAGTTCAGTGCTTTGTTTACACTGAGCGCATACCCACATTTCAGAGTTTAATATCAATTCATCTGGAAAACATGAGTAAACTCTTAATTTGAACCATTTGATATCCAGGAAAACATTTTTTTATGTTTGATTTCACAATTTGCAATGGGTCCTTTTAAATGTCTTAATGTAGATCTGAATAAAGTATAACACGCAATGACAAGATGCAGGTGTTTATTGTTAGTTCAACTTTGAGCACAAAAACACCTCAGCTATTACTGAACATTTACACTGATTGGTTTAAAAGCAACATGTCCATTACTTTATTATGTATTCATTTAACTCATGTATCTTAACTCATGTAATTGATGCAAACTAATTACCTTTTTTTGACAGTCAGAAAAACCCTAACACTCAAACTGCCAGTCCCCTTTGCTTTTTGTGCCATCTTCTGCTGCTGAAGATACTAAACTTTGTGTATGAAACAACTTTTCAATGATGCCTTAAAAATTAATAATAATAATACTAATAATMATAATTAGCTGTTAGGAGGAAATTTATGAACCAAAGTTACGTCGCAAAGTTCTTCAGAGCACAAATAGCAATACAAAGAAGGTGCCAGACAACAGACAACAGATAAGCCATAGCTAAATGACATCTTCAGCAGAAASCTGTTTTTAAGTTGAGTCAGAAAATCTGACTCGAAGAGGCTTTATGGGTACATTTACAGCACCATTAAATCAGAAACACAAATAAAAAGTTAATAAAGAACCTGTTTGTTTATGCATAGAGATCCTAAAATAAATGATAGTACAGGAAAATTCTCAGAAGTCTTGAAGGCCTCCAAATTCAACTGATACCGACAAACAGAAAGCCCAACTCTCTGGGAGCTTTTGACTCCAGCTACTACCTGTAGCTGTGAGACTCTGGAACATTTTTTATAAGCTAAATATTCAACTGAAAGCAAAATGTCACTTCAAAACACAAGAACTGATCTTTGAGGAGAGGCAAAATTTTAATCGAGAGGACTTGTGGCGTTTTCGAGTTATCTCCCAAATGCAACCTCGCAGTTTGCTGCGCGTATCGACACAGAGGCTCCTTCACTTTAATTTCACACACACACACACACACACACACACACACACACACACACACAC